CCCCATTCTTTTTTGGTATGTTAATTCAATTGCGTAAGAGAAAAACGCAAAGAAAGAAAAATAGACAAACAATATAACCTTACCAGGCGTCGCGTAATTTTTTGGTCTCTGGACATGCGCAGCAAGGTTTCAGTTTAGGTTTCTCGGTACTTGCAGGTGCCGGCGCTTCAGGTACTTTAATTTCCACAGATTTTGCACTCGCGTTCCCCATTTTCTTTATTTATTATTGCGATAAAATGACACAATTTCATTACCTTTATTGCACGGTTTTTCAAACGTCACTTTGACATGACGTTAAATATTGGCTATGGCGGCTAGGCTATTTAGTCAGAATAATAAAAGTAAATCCATAAAAATTTAAGTTCCTTCAAAAATCATAATACCTATATTAACAAATTTCGTATATTTACATAGAAACCTTTCCTTTTATCTTTTTATAAGTAAGTTTTTGTAGCCGCAAAGCTCCTTGTGAAAGAGTTCGTCCAGGGAAGTACTGTCTAGAGGTGGGTGATAAATAAAGTCACGATGAAAAAAATCACGATGATCCGCTGTCAAACAGTATCACTGTGACTCGTTCCGAAGAAACGTTCCAAAGGTGGTGGTGATACATAGGTGTTCCTCCGTTCCAATAGCTATCCCCATCACTCACATCACGACATACGTATTTGATACAATATGCGCGATCTCCGTTCCGTGGTGACTGAGCGCGCCACTCGTTGTAGTTCTTTTCAAATCGGGCCATTTCGGCGATGGGAGTGAATGAAATAAGATGACTTTCTTTGCTCACTCACAAGGGTTGTAGGTGCTTATACCACTAGAAAGGGCGGATGAAAAAAATCTGCAGGAGTTATTATAAACCTATTTATGAACAAAGTAAAATATTTTTGTAAATTTGTTTTATTACAGGAAGAGTTGGTATTTTATATTTATGTATAATCTCCTTTGTGTATTCTACTAGAAATATAATTACATTACACTTTATTGCTATTTTTAACAATCCAAAGATTCGCATTAATTAAGTAACAAACAAAATTACATTAAATACAAAATCAACTTTTTGAATGGAATTGAAACTTGTTACAAAGGGAGTAAAAACTTAAATCATTCTATAAAAAACGGCTATAAGTATTAGAAAGAAGCCGCTGGCTAAAACCGTATATCATGATGTAAGTTATAGGCGTGACAAGGTCACGGAAGTAACAGTCGTGACAAAATCACGATGACTTATCACTGTGATTTTTTTGGAACCGATTCCCCATGTCTAGTACTGTCATCATACTTCTGCCGCCATCGCCAAGCAATCATGTAACATACTTCGATCCGGTTTTGACCTTTTGACGGGTAAGGCTCAGCGCCGTTGGCGCTATCAATACCTTGGCGTCATCGTTTGCGCACGAAATAAAAATGGAATAGTTACAATTGTATTTTCTCCAGTGATTGGAAATTCGGGTGCAAATGGTGCAATTATAAATAATTAAAGTTACTTCGCTTACGTCGCCCCCTAACAATACCGTGTGCCGCACCAAAGTAAAGCTGACACTGATAAGGCTGATGGTACTACAGGCATATGGGACTTATCAACTTCACGTCTGGGGGCGAGGAGTACCTCTCGCATGTTTGCTATTTGAAGCTGAACTATCAGGCTCGTAACTTGTCCGTCCTGTCATTTGATAAAAATCTGGCTAATTTTATTTTACAATTTTGTTTTATTTTACAACATAGGCAGGCTCAAGGTTAAGCGATAAATGCCTACCGCTTAGTGCACCGACGTCGGCACAAGCGCTCACACAAGTCTTTCATTTATGAGCACTCAGTAAAATTTATGACGTTAATATTGCTAACTAAACTAAAATAAAAACAACGCACGAGTCCTTTCCTGACAAGTCTACCCTATCCGCCACGCCGCACCGTCCCGCTACGCTCCGCTTCGTGCGCTCCGCTCGGCACCACAGCCTGCTCGACTCCGTTCTGTCCGGCTCAGGGCTGCGTGTTCATATATTTTATTTGAAAGTCCGCTCCGTTCCACTTACACTATTTCCACTGATGCGGAGTGGAGTTTTCGAGCACTGTGATTGGTCAATTTACGGTCCGCTCCACGTAACTCCGCTCAGCTCCGCGTCAGTGGAAACGCACCCTTAGTCATATTTAGTAGGCTATAATAGTGTAGGTATTTTCGATTTTGTATGAGAGTGATATATCTGTTACGTAGTAACTATTAAGTAATCTGTGACATAAGTACAACACTAGACTGAATACTAAGGGTCGTATTCTATTCTACAACTCTACTCAATGGTCAAGTCAGGACTTGAGTATGATTCAAAGCACTAGAAATCATACTCGTGTCCTAGCCATTAGGGTCGTATTTCCAGTGCTTGAAATCGTACTCAAGTCTGCTCAAATCGAGTACAGTTCTGGAGTACGATCCTCAGTCATTCACAGACCTAGTGGGAAAGAAGATTCTAAATCTGTGACAAAAAAATGTATATTTATTAACAGTACAAATAGGAAGAAAAATACCAGTAGTTTTGTCAACAAAAATGAAAATGTAATTATTTTGCCACACTATTTTCAGTTTCTGCAAAATACAGTACCTACCTATATTAACAACGCATACTCATATACCAAATAACTACTCATCTGAAACGCGATGTATGTCTTTGTGCCAAGTCCCTAGTTAATAGTTCACTATTGCTCTCCGACCATTTACTAGGGTTTTGAATAAGTCAAAGTCAAAGATAGTTTATTCCAATAGGTAAAATAAATTTACACTTGAAAACGTCACATTTAAGTTACTGCTCGTTCACTACGCTGACTTCCCTGAGAAGAACGAGCAAGAAACTCTAGGGATTGCTCTTTTCAAATAAACTTAAATGCTATGGAATACACTTTGAATCAAATTTGTGTGGATTCTGGAGCCGTTTCGTCTTTCCATACATCTTTATCTAACACGTAGTCTTCAATTTTGTAATATTACTTTTCAATAAAAATATTTTTAATATAGTTTTTAAACTTAGGAAATGATAATCTTAATAAATACTCCGGAATCTTATTGTAAAAACGTATACAGTTCCCCATAAGAGTCGTTCACCTTGGTTAAACGTAATCGTGGTACCATGAGTTTGGACTTAGTTCTAAGGTTAATATTAAGGATATCTTCTTTCTTATTGAAATTATGTATATTTTTACGGGCATATAAAATATTTGAGTAAATGTACTGTGATTCCACAGTCATGATACCAGTCTCCTTAAACTTTTCTATGAGAGATACCCGAGAGCCTAGACGGTACACAGAACGAATCGCTCGTTTTTGCAATACAAATATGGTTTGAACATCTGGCGCTTTACCCCACATGAGAATACCGTAGGACATTATACTATGGAAGTAACTAAAGTAAACTAGTCTAGCAGTACTAACATCGGTAAGCTCACGTATTCTGCAGACTGCGTATGCAGCGGAGCTTAATCTGCTGGACAGAGAAGATATATGTGGAAACCATTGAAGTTTACTATCTAAGGTCACTCCCAAGAAGATTGCTTTATTAACAACGTCTAACTTTTCTCCGTTTATTTCTATGCTTGGACTAGTCTATTTTACGTTAGGTAATTCAAAGTTAACACATATGTCTTCTTGGAATAAAAAGCCATATTAAAATTAGTTTCAACTTTTATTGGACAAGCAAACTTAAAAACAATCGTGCAGTACCTACTTTTAGACTCCATAATTAATAAAAACAAAAAGAACGAATGCATGTAACTAATATTAACTAAATCTGTTACCAGAAATACATTAATAAATTTCTAAGTATTCCATAATTACCTACTAAGAAAACAGAAAGGTCGTAACTCATAATCATACTTTAAAAAGATTGATTCAAATCACAAGTTCATGATTAAAACAATTATATTTACTGTTATAAAAAAAAGAGCTTCCGTATATATGTAAACGAGTTGATACATAATCTCGCGGTGTTCAAGTAAAAACAGATGTTTGAAATTCCATATTAATAAAACCATTGACACGAGTAAATTATGTACCAAAATTTTTACAATTCAACTTAATTCTAGATATAAATACATGAATCACAAAACACACAGGCATTCATAAATTAACATGTTATTCGCGTTAAAAATCAAAATGCACGTATAAAAATGCTGTAAAAGTTAATTCATAATTAAACACAATGATTGGCGATAAAAATAATAAAAATGTTAACTGATTAAAAATTCTTTTCGGTGACCTGGCAATTTGTGTCACTTTGTACGGAATAGCGGCTTTGACAGTCTTATTAAAAATTGAGTCAAATTTTGCGGTCCAAAATTTTTATGTTCGTGATGCGTTGATTGTTTCGTCGGTGAAATTAGTCACAAACCAATTAAAGTTATCCTTTCTCAATCATATTATTAGAAATATGTTATAAAAGGAATTTTAACAATTGGTCGCATCTGAATAAAGATATTAATAAAACAAATTAAAAAAAAAAGTAATTTTTATGGAATAATCAGAGGTTAAAAACTGGAACGAAGAATAATTATTTAAAAGAGTGTTGTTTAAAAAAGATGCAATGTTAAAATTAAATATTTAAACATGCTCTCTGTTAGTTAAAAATGTATCCTATAGCTAGGTTTATAAGGCCTTCGGCCTGTTTACTTCAACAATTTGTCTTACAGAGATCAAGTCGAATCGCTTTTAGCTACATTTAATAAAAATCTAAAAAAAAAAAAAACAACAAACAACTTACTATCTAGGTGTTAAAATCTCATACAAATCAACATAAATAGTTAGTTTTGATTCCAGCTGCAATTGATCATATTGTTCTTGATCATAATGATGTAGATCAAAACCTAACACTCTTTTCCTAGATCTCATAGTATCACCGAGGGCCAGTGAAGGTCTGTCAATAATAACGTCAAGAACACAGATTGCTCTAGTGTATCGTAATGCTTTCTTGGTATTTACCCTCATCGTGATTTCTTTTTGTACACATAATTGAAATCTATGTCCATTTGGATAAGTTAATAGACAAAGTTGATAACTAGATTCAGGATTTGTATATTATCAATTTTTTTTTACAAAATGAGTAAGTACTTCGTTCAGAACTCTTTGAAAATTAGTAAATTGAATTAAACTTGGAATAATTTGATTAAAATAATATCTACTAATTGTTTTTATAAAAATGTTTACTCAATTTCCAATCTAGTCCAGATAATCATTTTACCAATTTTCAAACAATGTATTATTTTAGTAAAAATTAATTTAAAATAGTAGGCAAAGATCATAGAACTAAGTGACACTAATATCTATTAGTCATAACTTAATTCTTCATTAATTCAATAGAGGCTAATAATGAGACGCCTACTAGAATGCACAAAGTCAGATAAACAAATAACTAAACACGATCCTCATTTTGACATTAATGACAGGTTCATTCGATGAAGTTTATCAGTCTTCAAATCGATCGTTTTGTACTATTATCAGTCTTAGTGTAAATATTATAATTTTGTACTTATTTATCAGTCTCTGAGCATGGTCTTGACATATCATTATTCATAACGAGTCTTTGCAAATTGACCTTTTGCTACGTTGCAGGAATATAAAAAAGGCGTCAAGACCGGGAATTTGGCAAGAAAAATGTAGAAAAATTCTGATTGTGTGATTGTAATACTAATTAGTTTAGCCTTGTACGATTTGGCAAAGTACGGTACATTGTTTAATAAGCAATATGCGATGTTTTGTTAAGGAAAGGTTGTATGTGATAGGTAAATTTTCCTTACACAAAGCCAACCTAAAAATATTTGCCAAGTACGAATCGTGACTTAAACATAGCATATTTAGGAAACACTAACGATAAATCCTATAGTTATTATATCAATTATATCAAGTAAATTCTACTTATTATAGCGAGTGTATCTACCAAATTCCCAACCTCACCCCAATTTGTAGTGGTAGCGTGGTTTACCACTTGTCGTTGAGTGCAGCTGTGTTGTACGGCGGGGAGTTAACCAATTTTCGCTCTGTACCCAGCGCCGCCGTCTTCTGACTCGATTGTTTTTGCAGCTCTGTAGAATCAATAACGATAATATGTTATTGCATGTTTCCGTAGTCCAACACCGTGGGGCTAAATAATACATTTAATTTACGTTGGGCAGACACTGCGATTAGGTAGAAACAACCTCGAAAGGGAACCCAAGAGGAGGATTCAGTTTGGCTGGGCAGCGTTTGATAAACTACGTCGAGTCTTCTCGTCACCCGTACAGCAAAGTTTGAGAAGAAAAGTTTTCAATCAGTGCGTTCTACCTGTTATTACCAGGGATCGGAATAGGTAGAGTTTTTTTACCTAAACTTCGAGGAACATATGGAGACTGCCTTACGACAATATTTTTTAGGTCCTGGACCTGTTCGGGATTCGGAAAATCACTTTTTTACATTAAAAATTGACGTAATCGGGAACAGGCAGGTACACTATAATTATTTATCTTAACCAGGACCTAAAAAACATTGTCATCAAACATTGTCACAGTCCGGTGCGATGCACGCTCAGATTCGGACGTGCTCACACAGTAAGAATTATATTAATTCGCGATCCGCGCGGTAATGACCGCTGCGCGTAATTGACTATGGGTTCCCAACAACTCATAGCCAATGAACTGCTGGCGTTCATACAACACGCCATCGACACTATGGACGAGGTCAGCATCATGCAGATCTGCAAATCAAACTTTAAAGAAGATGAGATTTGCAGTGGCAAGGCGCTGCTTTTCCGTGTGCTTGGCAAGGCCGAGCAGATGCCATCTCGCCGGAGGGATGGAGGAACGAAGAGTATCCAGGACATTATAACGATGTTAAAGGAAACCGACCCAGACGACGTGCCTGCTTTCGTGGCAAAGGAGCTGCACAAGCTGCCCCCTGTCACGTTCGACCATGTCGATGTCACTAGGCTGCTTAAGGACATCACATCCCTGAAAGCAAGTCTGGCCGAAGTGCAATGTAAATTGGAGGCTTCGGATAACACCATCTGTGAGTTACGTGCCCAAGTTGTATTACTGAGTAGTGCAACTTCGGTAAGTAGGTCACCCGAGGCCTGTAACGTGAATACTCGTCGCGGGGCACATAATGCATCTATCGGCAGTTTTGAGTCGGCCCATACGGATGCGTCACCGACCGCTGTCGCTGAGCGCGTTTCCCCGCGCCCCGCCCCTCGATTGTCCGCTCCGGCGGAGACGTCACGCGTAAACACGTTGACCCCTCCACGTGATTACGCCGCTGTCGCAGCTGTTAACCGACCCGTTGCTCCACAACCACAAGCCAGGCAGCTATCAACGAAGGGGATGAAAAAACCTCGTGTACCTGTCTCTGAAGTTGCAAAACCACAGAGGCAGACGGCCCGGTGCGACGATGACGGCTTCACAAAGGTGGAGAAGAAGAAGAGGAAGCCCACCAGCCGTAACCTGTGCGGCACTGCACCGACAGGGTCCAACTTTTTGCTGCGTCCGGCAATCCCGACAACGCTGCTGTACCTGTCACGCCTGCATTACTCCACGAAGTCTGAGGAGATAGTGGAGTACATCAGGTTGAAATCCAAATACACCCTGAGGGTCGAGCGGTTGGAGTCCCGCCACTACGTGAACTTTAATTCGTTTGTGGTGAGAGTGCCGACCGAACATCTGTCGACCTTCATGAAGGAGGAGTTCTGGCCGAAGGGTGTCCTATACCGGCGATTCCGTGGCCGGTTGCCTGACACCAGATGGCGCCACACGTCGCCGACAACCTAAATACGTGTTAAATTAGTAATTAGTGTTATTTTATATTGTTATGTATGTTAGTCTGTAAGGTATGTATCTATGGGTCTCAGTAACCTGAATATAAATAAATAAATAAATAAAAAAAAATAAAAATTGTCAAAATATTGTCTCCATTTTCTGTCTATGTTAAAAAAAACTCTACCTATTCCGTTCCCTGGTTATGACATACGGATCCGAGACGTGGACACTCACGATACGGTCAAGTTCACCAGTTGAAAATCGCTCATCGAGCTATGCTCGGAGTTTCTTTGAAGAATGACGTTATCCAACAGAGAATCAAGGTAGAATAAATAAGCAGAACTGGCAGTGGGCTGACCATATTTGTCGAAGAACCGATAACCGGTGGGGGTAACGAATTCTTGAGTGGAGACCACGGCTCCGCCACGTAGTGTAGGACGCTCTCTGGCCAGATGGATGCGACGGGCTAAGCACCCGGCGAAATGGCGTGCATTGCGCGGCATTGCCTACGTCCAGCAGTGGACTGGGATAGGCTGTTGATTATGACGATGATGAATATAAAATGCTCACATACCAGCAATGATCAGCAGCATCTTCCTGCGAGCGCCGAAGGCGGTGACGCCGATCTCTGTGAGGTCGGCCTCGTTCAGAGACGCGAACGTCGATAAGTCCAGCTCATGTTTCTTGAAAAGGTCTGCATGAAAATAATTTTAGCAATGTTAGTACATTCGAATGGACATTATATAGCAATCTCTCTCTCATCTTAGCGTTGTCCCGGTTGCGTCCTCAGCAGGGTTGCTGCGGAGCCCGGGGTCCGCTTTCCTACTTTTTCTCCTCCACTTTGCACGGTCTTCGGCATCCTTAGTGGTGAGACCATTGGCACGCATATCACCCTTGGCGACGTCAAGCCAGCACTTCTTGGGTCTGCCCCTTCTACCGGGGCCCGGCGGAGGTGGCATAGCCAGACATTTGTTTCCCACGTAGCATGCCGGTTTCCGTAAGATGTGGCCGTACCAACGTAGGCGGCTTTCTTGCAGTTTATCTGCAATGTCACGGACATGAAGGCTGCCGCGGATGCGGGAGTTTCTGACACGGTCTTTCCGTGAAACTCCACACATCCAGCGCAGCATCTTCATTTCCGTGACACGCAGCTCCTGCTTATGACGCTCAAGTACGGGCCACGTTTCACTGCCATATAAAAGGACAGGCCTAATGATGGATTTATAGACCTGTCCTTTCAGCTTAACATCATCTTGGGGTCACAAATTACACCAGTCACCTCACGCCACTTTGCCCAAGCGGCTGCGAGTTACGAGGACATTATATAGCAATATCTACTTCTAATAAACTGCCAACTCACTTACAATTATATGGACGTCGGGTCCGCGCTAAAAAGTGTCCGAACTTATAGGGCGTTAAAATCGTATACAGAGCGTCATTCACGCTTTACTCTTCGTTTGTTCGACTGACAGCGAAGCAAACAAAATTAGACAGTACTGCGATAACATTACAATTTAAATTCAACGTTTTAGCTTTTTCATATTCCTTTACATGTCACTACGTTTAAATAGGTTGACTTGGGACATTTTTTTCGTGGTTTTTGTATTAGACCCGTCGTCCATTTATTTGTAAGTCAATGAGTTTACATATATTTATGTACCATATTACTTAACAGATTATAAATAAAATGATTACGTATTCAGTGTTCACGAGTATCATTCCTCCACAACGTATAACAAGTAATGATGCTTACAGATTTGATTTAAATCGCAAAGATCTCAGGGGCACTGCCGCTGCGCCCGACACACAGACATAAGTTAACAAATCCCATATGCCTGTAATATCACCAGCACTCTTACCCTTCAGAACCAGAACACAGCAATGCTAACATTATTGCTTGGCGGCAGAAACAGGTAAGGTGGCAGTACTGCCCTCGACGAACTCTTTCACGAGAAGCTCTACTGCTACTAACTGTTGAATAGTAGCTCGATGCCTAACCACTGATAAGCCACCACCCTTAACTTTTACCAGAATACCAAACGTACAAAATCCTGCCATTGACACTATTGATTGACATGGTTTAAAATGACTTGGAGCCCTATATTTTGAGCAGATAAATGATTCATGAATTTAAAAAATCTCACCAATGTATTTGTGCAGTCCAATATCTCTCAGCAAGTCATACAACTGTTCGTAGCGGCATCTCTTGGCGGCATGCACCTGCTGCGGCGGCGTCGGTGCACTCTCCACGATGTTCGGGCGAACCAGCTCTGAGCGGTTCCAGCCTCGCTCGGGCTATAATAAAGGTTAATGAGTAGTAATAATGAGGGTTTGGTACCGGTATAAACAATATATGTTATTATACAGGGAAATTTCATTTCGATACCAATAATACCGGTAACAATGGAAAAGATTGTTTAGAAATAATGGAACATTTTTTATAAACAAAAGAATTTTAAAAGTTTTTGGAATTACATCTATTTACCAAGTTTTATTGAAATCGGTTACCGGAAAGTAAATGAAATCGGATTCATCCCCTAGTTTGCCACTCTTATTAGAGGTGGAATATTTTCTTCAAATTTTAATGGGACCAACATCGAGGTACCCTCTTTCCTACAAAATATGTATATTAAAATCTGTTCACAAATGAGTTATCGCATAACATACGTACAAAAAATACAGTCGAATTAAGAACCTCCTTTTTTTTAAGTCATTTAAAAAGACTATAACATTTTAAAATGCAAGATTTTGATTGATGAAAAATTAGAGAAGTATGTAGATTTAAATGTAAACTTTTTGACTGATTCTTGTTTCAGTGTGTTAATTGAGAACTGAACCAAATGGACATTATAGTATGAATCATAATAAGGAACCCCCCCTAGCGTCTTTCGAGCGTCATTGTCTTGCTTGCTAACACAAGCACAGCGTAACAAGACGCTGACGCTCAAAAGACATTAGTGTGGGGGGTATCTAAGATGTACAAAATGTAAATAAAGAAATGCCACGACATGTCATTATCAAAGTATGAATGCAGGTGTGCTAAACCTTCTATTATTAACGGAATTGAAAAAGGAGGATCTCATTTAATAAATTTTTAATATCTATTACAAAATATTAACAACAGACAAAAACTGTACGAATTAAAAACTGACAATCAAACAATAATTTGACAAATGCAATTCGAAGACAAGAAAACATTCAGTTCGAGAAACGAATCACGAGTGACATTATATGACACGACAAAATCATTATATACATATATATTTGGCAAAATAGCTCTATTCGTTTGTAATCTCTAATTTAAAATCCAACTATAGAATTTTAGTTGATGAGCACTTACAGTGGTCATGACGTTATTCCGATTATCATTCAAATTGATAGCGCCAGGCGAAGTGTTACTGAAGTAGTGCCCAGACCACCTCGGGGTCGGCACTCTGTAGCCGCTGCCTACGTTCTCGCGCATTGCCTTCGGACACAAATGTTTATATTAATATGTAATGTCTAATATTGTTCCACTGGGGAATATTTCTGCCGTCGGAAGAAAGAAAGGCACAAGCAGATAGATAAATGAGTTTAATACTCAAAATTGTTCACAAGTGGCTCTACGGTTAAAAACCTTATACGAAAAGCCGCGATAATGCGTAAAATCTACTGGCTCGATCCGTAGCTCAGTTGGTAAGAGAGGTAGGCACGTTGAGGCGACAGACGCTTGTTCGATTTTAATTTATTTGTTCGATCTTTGTGTTAATAATAATAATTAACTAGTGGAATATTTTCAGAAAAAATGGATTATCATGGTAGTAAAAACATTACGATATTCAATAAAAATACTTTTCTTTTTTTTAAAAGATAAAATGTATTTTCTTTTTTTTTTATAAATGGCAAAAATGACTTTTCATGATAGAAAATTTGATTATTGATAGTCAGCTTTTTGACCTTAATGTTTGATTTTTGGATAAATATTTATCCAACAAATTATTGACATAGATTGCTTCAAAATAGTAGATAGCCCTGTTTTCCTGATCCCGAATATAAGTCAATTTTAATTAAAAAGATACTTGTGCCTGTTTTTGTTTCGAGGGCAGAGCTATGGAATCAGTAGTGAGTGTTCGGACACTGAGAAATTGGTAAAGCGCTGAAGTTATATCATTAGATCAGTTGTATTGCTTATAGATAAGATAGATAATGTGCCAGACAATACACCAAATGCCTGGCCTGGATTCTCTTTATGAGCACCAGAGTAACGGAATTCACTCTGGGGCATTTCCCAGAACACCCAGACCTGAACCAATTTAGAAAAGTAGCAAAATATTTTCGAGGTTTTGCGCGAGATAACGTACTGTACCAAGCAAAAATGGCTGACTGAGCTCAAGTATGCGAAACTCCGCATACTGTTGGCACACGTGCACGTCAACTAGGTATTTATTGTTCTGTGGTTTTAAACCTCCTAAATGTCAAATTTTCAATATCGTCAGAAATATTGTTACAGAAGCGTATACCTTGCTCTTTAAATGAATTTGTGACTTTATGAAGAATGTTTTCGTTCCTCGTGTCACTGCTATTTTTCATGAAAACAGAAATAAAATACATTTTCATAAAGTACTATGACGTCAATATCAGAATTCTTCATTAAACTCCTCTATTATTATAATTTTGATGTTCTCAGTGCCCTAACGATTTACACCGTGGACGCTGAATGATTCCCGCGTTCGATTCCCGGCAGGATCAAATTGGCAAACGAACTTCTTTAAATTGGTTCAGCAGTTTGATTTTGATTGCCTCTTCCGAGTCGAGGCGCATAATTGCGATTCACAACTGACCGATCGGAAACTTTTGACATTTTTACTCGGAACAACAGTTGATTTATCTCACAAATTAGAAAGAGATGGTAGAAATCAGGTTCATCTTCTCGCTCGTAAACCCATCTGATTTCGAGAATACCCGATCGGTTCGATTCCGATATGACTCAAAATCAGCATGCTGGTGTTCTGGATTATGCCTCGGAATTTCGTTGCTCTGGTACTTATAGAACAAGGAATTTCCTAATAGGAAATGAAGCGGGAAAGATGGAGCCGGGGCTCTACTCTCTTTCTCCGCCCGAAACAATTATTGTTAAATAATTAATACTCCTCGACCAAAATAAAAGTTAATGTCAAGTATGGAGTTTTTTAATTTGGCCGAGTATTAGTTATTTGACGGAGAACGAGTTTGTTTCGGACGGAGAACAAGAGGGTGTGGGCTGTTCAGCTACTGGTGGTGATACGTACCTTGCTAGCCTCAGACTTCATGTGGCGGTACTCGGCTAGAGGAGACATCTTGTTAAGTGTCTCTAGAGTCTTCTTCTCGCAGCCCGGCGCGCGGCGCTCCGATAGCGGTAGGTCCGAGATTATGTTCGCTAAATCTAAGAAAAACATCGAAATAACTCGCGTTAGTCAGTAAAAACTCACTACAGTAAGAAACAGGTACATTTAATGAATAGCCAAGAGATACATTCTCCTGTGAAAGAGTTAGTACTGTGTAGTACTGCCACCTTACCTATTTCTGCCGCCAAGCAGTAATTCCAGCGTTACTGTGTTCCGGTTTTGAAGGGTAAGGGTGCTGGTAAAATTACAGGCACATGGGATTTGTCAACTTATGTCTCAGGGTGACGGGTGTAGTGGTAGTGCCCCTCAGATCTTTGCAATTGAAAGCTCTGAGTGGCACTGTAACTGTTATGGACAGCTTACCATCAGGCGCACGACTTGTTCGTCCCGTCACTTGATGTTATTAAAAAAACCAGATATTTTAATCTACATTACTTATATCACGTTTAACGTAACCTCTATTAACGTACCCTCTAAGCAGATTAATAAACTGGACCTATGTTTTTTATTAATTATTTATTCAAAATACAATACTTATTAAAACTATATAAAAAACTTTTAGTAAAACTACTATCAAAAACCCTTTAAAGGGTTTATACGAAAGCAGAATGCATCACAAATTATCTCGCCGATTTTACGGGTTTAGTTAAATAAATAATAAACGCTCACACGCGTGCCATGGACACACAAACAGAAAACCACAAATTACACCCAAACTCACGAGAGAAATAAATGTAGGCCATACAAATATTTCTCCCGACCCGGGAATAGAACCTGGGACCTCTCCGTGGCAGTTCGGTATGGTAACCGTTCGGCCACGGAGGCAGTAGATGTAACTATAAATAAATAATAAACAAATAAGTTATTAATTAAATACCTTATTTTTAATTTTACAAAGAAAACATTCCAATTTACGCTATATTAAGTTTTACAAATATTTTATTGAATGAATTTTTATTAAGTTCAATTTATTATTAATTATTAGTAGAAATTAGAATAAACTAAAACATATTAATTAGTACTGCAGTTTTATGTCTGTTTGGGATTTTTCATTAGAGGAAATACTGGATCCCAAACTGGTGGTACGGAGAAACCATCTTCCCTGTTGAAATTAGGATGTTTTTTAATTTCAATGGCCTCTCGCAGCATCCTGGGTAGATAACGGACTTCTTTTGCAAGGACCTGGGGTATGTCAAACTTCATTGAATGTGTAGGTTTATCCATGACATGCTCGCAGACTGCAGACTTGTTTACGCGACGGTGTTTGACATCAGCTATATGTTCTTTAACGCGGGTACAAATAAGTATTAGACAACATCATGTACGTTGATCTGAACCCAAAGCAAGTATGACTAAAGCACTTGTGTTACGGAAATTGAAAACAACAACGGTACCACAAACATCCAGACCCGAGACAATATAGAAAAGTAAAATTTTCTACATTGACCGTATGGTCGAATCGAGAATCCCCTCCTTTTTGGAGTCGGTTAAAAATAACACAAATAATAATGAGTCGGTGACGCAGGCGCCCGTCTGGGAGTCTGTATACAAAGGAGAAATAAAAAACCGTGCTCGTAAAAGGTATATAAAATATTGTGTGCCACAATTGGGTCAACTTCAACGGGTTGTGACACTTTGTATCATTTCGGTGGTTTTTTTTTGTATCAAGGTTTTTCTTTGCTTTATTACGTTGAGGCATTCTTAAGCCCGTTTTATTAAATGTTTGTTTGCGGGTTGGATGACATTAATATTGTAATTTAAATGACACTGAAATTATCTTTTTTTTTTCTTCAGCTGATGATTTTTTGGGCAGCTTTCAATTTTAAGATGATATAAATATATTGTATCGGAATTTTAAATTTTTATTGAATTGACATTCTATTATTTTTTTGTGAAATTACTAGTTTGTTATAATTATTAATACAAAGATCGAACACTCAGAAAAATTTCCTTCGATCCGGCCGGATTCGAACTGACGTCTTCTAGCATACCGTGCCAGACGCTATACCAACTAAGCCACGGAACGTACCAGCGGACTTTACGAATTTTTCTATGTAAACACATTGTCGTGTCTTTGTATTTGGTTTTTTTCATCGACTTTTTAGCCGTAGCGCCATCTATGAGAAATCTTAAGTATTTCGCCACCCAGTTAGATACCTTTACAGCTACCAGCCCTGGCTAGAGATGTCGCTATTCATTGTATTTAATTTTTTATTGAATCATTATTCAATCATTTTTATGTCAAATTACTCCACTAGTTATAATTATTAATACTAAAATCGAACACTCAGAACAAATTCCTTCGACCCGGCCGGATTCGAAAATGTATAAATGTGGCTTTTTTATTATATCTAGTGATGGGACGAACAAGTCGTGCGCCTGATGGTAAGCTACACGCCTGTCCATAACAGTTGCAGTGCCACTCAGAGCTTTAAATCGCAAAGATGCCTCTCATAGGCACTGCCACTTCGCCCGTCACCCTGAGACATAAGTTGACAAGTCCCATGTGCCTGTAAATTCACCAGCACGCTTACCCTTCAAAACCGGAACACAGTAATGCTGACATTACTGCTTGGCGGCAGAAATAGGTAAGGTGGCAGCACTTCACTGGACGAAATCTTTCACAAGGAATTCTTCTGCTAATAAAAGTATACTGGCTGATGCCATGTATACTTTTTTTAAACCTATTTTGTCAATTTCCCAAAAATGTTGCATTTCGAATTTAGTCACTTTATCATTGATGGTGAGGTATAGAGTCGTAAGATTTACCTTGTTGCGAGCGATCGTTCTCGTTGGACGGCACGGGGCTGTGAGTCTTGCTTATCGGAGACACCGAAGGCGATACTACGTTGCTGCCTTCGCCTCCTGGACAGCAGTAAACATAGTATTCAGAGCTTCGAAGTATACACGTGATTACTTCTTTTTCTTAGTGTGCCGCTTCTCTACGAAACGTGGCGACCATCATGGCTATTCTCATTTTTGAAGCTGCCGCACGAAAGAGGGAATGTGTGTTAAAGTGGAACCAGTCTCTCAGTTTCTTTAGCCACGAGGTGTCCTTCTGCCACTACTACGTTTTACTTGAATTTTCCCCTACATTATTAGTAGATACTACATTACATTTTTTTTAATAACGCACTTACTCATCGTATGGAAAACAACTAGGGAAACCCTGTGTCGTGGGTGCCATGTACACACACTTAGCCAACAACCACAAATTACACTCAAACTCACGAGAGAAATAAATGTGGACCATACAAATATTTCTCCTGGCCCGGGATTCGAACCTGGGACCTCTGCGTGGCATTCCGGCATGGTAACCGTTCGGCCACGGAGGCAGTTAATATTTAGCAGTAGATATATTGCAAGAAATAGTCAAAGAGGAAAAGAAATACACTCATCAAAAGCGTCAGCACGTTTTTGCCAATTACTGAAAATCTGGTTTTTTTAATGAAAAAAATTTTAATACTAATGAATTTTTTAAAAATTTGTAATTATAATTTGACAAATGAAATTGACCAAAAAAATCCAATGGTGTTAAAAAAACCTGATTTTCGGTAATTAGCAAAAACGTGTTTGGCCCCTAGACACTTCTGATGTATGTATATGTCTGAAACGTGCGCTTTTTTAAATTTATTTTGCATTTTTCTCAAAAATTTGTTCTTAAAAGTTAATTTCGTCCTTGATTATTGTGCGAGGGATTGGTTAAATTGAATGAATGTATTTAATAATAATATGTGCCAGACAGTCTCATCAAAATAAGGAATGCCTTCCTTTCCTTCCTGGTCAAAATTTAAAAAAGTTCATGTCCCAAATTGATCCTACCGGGAATCGAAACCGAGACCTCTGCATCCAGCACCCGCAGTGCAAACCGTTGGACCACCGAGGTCATCTTGATATGAATAAAAAGATTGCGGGTCACCGCAGTCCCAATGTCTCTAACTGACCGGAAATATTGTGGGTGTCCAGGGAAACGCAGCTGCCGGTAAAGTTGCTCTGGTAGCCACTGCTCGCCTGCGAGCTGGAGTTCAGCAGTTGACTCAACGTCCTCTGAAACAATAACTATTTTATTGAAAAAAAAACCGACTTCAATAGTTCGTGGAGTTTTTGTTTGCCAAGGTTTATTGAGATCGGTTACCGGAAAGTGCACGAAACCGGATTCATTCCTAGATTCCCACTTTTAGAGATGGAATATTTTATTCGAATTTAAATGTGACCAATACTGGGGTACCCTCCTTCCAACAAAAAAAATCAAAATCGGTTCAGAAATTGGAGTTATCGCGTAACATACATACAAAAACGAATTCTGTCGAATAGAGAACCTCCTCCGTTTTCAAAAAGTCAGTTAAAAATTAATCTAGATCTACTGGTGGTAGGGTTTTCCGTGCAAAACCCACCCAGATAGGTGTCGCCGGTTTACCTATTTAAAAAAAACGGACGAAAAAATATATGAATCTTCTTCTTATTATATCGACGGCATACATCATAATGTTTGCCATCGTGGTGAATGGATTTGCCACCGATTATTGCCCAGGGAACGCCAAACATATAAGAAAGGTATGGTACGTAGTGCGGGGAGGCTCCTGCCGTGCATTTACAGGCACATGGGACTTCTCAACTTATGTCTCAGGGTGACGGACGCACGAGCTTTGCATTTTAAAGCTTCGAGTGGCACTGCAATTGTTATGAACAGGCGTGTCGTTCACTGTTCGTCCTGTCACTTGGTATTATATAAAAAAAATATGGATTCTCCTTTCGTGTATATGAATAAAAAGAAAGCTCAGAAAAATACATTTACAAATGACTTGACAAATGATCTTATTTATAAATGAATTTGTATTTTCCTCAAGAAAATTGGTCGTCACCGACAGCGTGGCTGTTGACAGTTTTAACCTACCTACTATTATAATAAATGCAGACAGTCTCCGTAAGATGGTCAAGTCATGAAGGTTGTATACTCACGGGCCTGCCATCGGTGGACAATTGTTGGTAAGTTGGCTGCATCATCATGGGCTGCATAACGTTCATGTCAGGACCGGTGGACATTGCTGCCGAAAAATAATATTCAGGTGTAATAATAATATTAAAAATTACGCGCCAGACAACCACACCAATTACGTGGGAATAACTTGTGCCATTTTGTGTGCCAAACAATTTCGTTGATTGATGATCACAGCCAAGTCTTCTAATTGTGAAGAAATAGATTCGAATCGTCGCCTGTATTTATGATTTTAATTTCTACGTTACGTACAAGATATTCAATGACCAATAATGACGTATTTGACAAAAAAAGCTAAGTAAATCAAAACTACTTACGGTTCCAGGATCCTCCTTGGTTATTATATACTATAGAATTCGGGCTTGGCATCATATTCGGGTAATGGAAAGGCTGCCCTCTTGGCTGCGGCGATGGGATCATCCACGTATTGGAGAATCCATGAATCGGAGGAGTCAACGCTACAGGCGACAGGGGACTCGGATATCCTCCAGAGGTGGGAGGGTTAAACGGGCTCACATTGTAGTCCGACATTTGCAAGTTATATGCGGAGCATGGGGAGTTCGCCATGTTCTGAGTTGGCGAGAAGGGGTTGTAAATGCTAAAGTTTGGCATTGATGCTGCCGGGATAGACGGGATGGTATAGGATTCTGGTATTTCGGCAGCTATCACTGGCTCCTTGCCACCGAGGAGCTCGCGACGCGCTTCGTAGATATCTCCTGTTAATAAAGGTTATTTTTAATCATTTGCTAGTGACCGTGTGAAAGTAATATTTTACACAGATATCGCTGTTATGGACTAATTTAAGAAAAAATTTGAGGGGCACTGCCACTACCCCCGACACTCTGAGATATAAGTTGACAAGTCTCATGTGTCTGTAATTTCACCAGCACCCTTACTCTTCGAAACCGGAACGCAATAATGTTCACATTACTGCTTGGTGGCAGAAATAGGTAAGGTGGCAGTACCACCCTGGACGAACTCTTTCACAAGGAGCTCTACTGCTACAAGCACTTAGAAAAATTCGTAAGGTCTGGTGGTTCGTTCCGTAGCGCAGTGTGGAGAGTGTCAGGCACGGTATGCTGAAGGCGCTGGTTCGAATCAAACCGAATCGAAGGAATTTTTCTAAGTGTTCGATCTTTGTATCAAAATTATAACAAATCAGTGGAGTCATTTCTCATAAAAATAATTGAATATCGTAGTAGTCGTATCGTAGTAGTACGTCAAAACAATCACTCCCCCATCCATAATCCCTTACATATCAACCGAACCGAAGTTACTAGTTCTGACCACAATAGTATCAACACCTCGCTTGCACAAAAATTATTATACTTTAGAGGTAGTCGTTTATACAACGTGTGAAATAAAAAACTAATTAATATTGTGCCCCTCACTAAGAAGCAAAAGAAATAATCACAAAATGTTTGTTAAAACTTACTTACAACAAAACTGAAGAGCTCCTCTTAATTAAAACTTAACTTACGAGATAGTATACAAGATCATTCATATTCGAGCACACACACACACACACACACACACACACACACACATATCACATAGCCATATTTTACTTGATAAATTTTAAAATAGTTACCTTATTTTTTTATACTTTGTTAACCGACTTCAAAAAAAGGAGGAGGTTCTCAATTCGATTGTACGGTTTTTTTTATGTATGTTACGCGATAACTCATTTGTCAACCGATTTTGATGATTCCTTTTTTTGTTGGAAAGAGGATACCTCAGTAGTGGTTCCATTTAAATTTAAAGAAAATATTCCACCTCTAAGGGTCAAACTAGGGGATTAATGACTTTTGAGGTCGGTTTTTGGTTTCACAACATTTTGTTGGAGTCTAGTTATCCGAGGTGAGAGACCTGGCATCCTATATTACAAGATTGCGCTTAGGTTAGGTGCTTCTAATTTTGTACCCGGATAACTGTTATGTTTGTGGAGAAAATAAATGTATAATATTATTACAAAGCATTGTGATATTCAATAAACTTAATAATAAATAAATATATACTACTACAAATACGAATGCTATTTTAATGTGTAGTATGGTTGTGTAATGTGTTTGAATGGTAGTTTAATACAAATGAAATGCAGTGTAATTTTTGTGAGTGCTATTAAATACACTCGCCTGCACATCGCTCAATTCCCTTGATAACAATCGAAGCAATCCCCTGCTTCGGCTTGCGTCGCACGTTGATGTAAACGTTGTATCGCTGCGAGAGCTGCGCTACTGCGTCATTGTCGACGTGACACAGTTCTTCGGATACGTCGAAGATCACTACTAGTGGGAGGCTACCCTGTGGGATTAAAATTTAAATTTAAATATTGAAGTCGCTATTTAGTAAATGGTCCGAAAAAGGTATTCCACATATATACATACAGCTACAAGAAGCGATATAGGGCTGTTAAAACTACCAAATATTAATTAATTACTGTTTCGATGGATTTCCGGAAGTGGTTTTATTGTATCGTAGGACAATACTACGGACCTAGGAAATCGAAGTTGGATTTTAAAGTAATTCTAATAGTGCCAAGAATAAAATGCAGACGATAACCAACCTTTTACCAAAACGGAGATAGAAAAGTAAAGAGAATGGTCAATTTCTATCCCTCTCTAGCTTTAGATACCGCATATTGACGGTTACATTGACAGAACGACGACATTTGCTAGTAGAAGTTAAGAAAAAAATATTAGTTTTATTTTGCATGTCATGACATTTTAGTTTGCATGAGAATCGTTGTGACCGCACTCAAAAAATGTAACATTTAAATTAAAAAAAAAACAGTATAACAGATGTTCGAAATATAAATTAGTAATATTACAGATAAATTCGAACCACTAGCAGAAATGTCGTATTTTAAAAAGAAAATGTTCACACTAGATTATTTTATCCTGTTTATAAAAAAATCTTCTGGTCGCTTAAACAAGACGAAATAGCGCCATTTTTGACGGCCTCGCCCTTGTACGGCTATTTATCTTCATAAATAGAATAAAGCGAGGAGTTTCTTTCATCCGGAAATCCGGAATTCGGAAAAACGAATAATATTTGGTGGTTTTTAACAACTCTGTATCGCTCCTTGTAACTATATCTATACATGTATCTATATATGTAGAACACCTTTTTGCGTCCATTGCTAATAAAGTCGCCAACTTTAAAAAAAATCTAAATTTAAGTGATGATGTCGCTCCGTAATGCTGCTTAATTTAAATACATCTAACCTACATTCAGATTATAATTAAGTTTATTTAATGTCAGGATGTTTCACCAGCATGACATTAATTAAATTACTCTATTAGTTTGTAACAAATTATTAATGCAAAGATCGAACATTTAGAAAAAAATCTGTGAGTTATGTTATTCAGTATGTTACGTCTGACAGATGGCGCTACTTATATACCTACGCTAAGAAAGTAGTTAAAACTTTTAAAATCTTTGTATTAATAATTATAATAAACGAATGGGTGAAAGCTTGGGTGCACGAAAAGTATTTATCTTACCTATTTATATGTGAACTACCAAGTTTCTTACCTATAAATTGATTTTATTATCAATAATAAGATCGAACACAGAGAAGAATTCTTTCGATCTAACACGACTCGAACCTGCATCTGTAATGCCAATCTAGGGCAGCGGTTCTACCAACTGAGCTACAGACCGAGTCAGCAGACCTTACGAAATTCTCTATGCGCTTGTTACAGGTCTTTGTTTTTAACCGACTTCAAAAAAAGGAGGAGGTTCTCAATTCGACTATATTTTTTTTGTTACGTGATAACGATTTGTTAACCGATTTTGGTGATTCTTTTTTGTTGAAAAGAGGGTACCTTAGTAGCGGTCCCGTTTAAATTTGAAGAAAATATTCCACCTCTAAGGGTGGCAAAGTAGGGGATGAATGACTTTTGAGGTTGGTTTTTTTAGTACTATATACTGAGATTATTGATTTTAAAGGCTTCTTTGCGGTAGCGCAAACACGTGTGAGAAAACTATGAAAGTTTTTCTTCATTCAACTTCCTTTGTGTTCTATCTCTGTATCAATAATTATAACAAATGAGTGGAGTTATTTCACAAAAAATAAATTAATATCATGGTAGTAAAACGTCACGGTATTATGGTATTAAAAAAAACAATATTGATTTATTTAGATAGGGAATAGAAATTCGAATTACACAAAACGGTAACGGCACAAAAAACACTGCTTTTCCGTGTCGTTACCGTTCATTGCTTACCACAAGTTGTTGTCTGGCAGTATAAACATCCTTAATCTGGCCAGTTATAGTGACGCAGCTCTTTTTAATAGGCAGTATGTTTGGGTCATTTGCGTCAGGGAACATCACTTGGGTCCCCGTGCCTTTCATTATCACCTTCAGCTGCTCGGACCCCCGGCCTACAACTACGCTGTGATGCATGGGGGATATTTCTAGCATCATTTGCACCTTGGTTTGGCTCTGAAAGGAGATAAGGTCTTGGTAATTA